GGGGCGCGGGCCGTGGTGGGGGCGTGGGGCCGTGGAGGGGGACACAAGTGTGTCTGTGCCTGTTGCCACCTGTGGGGTGCCCTGAGGGGGCCCGTTGGCCAGTGCTGGCGCGTATTTCTCTGGGAGGTTCACCTCGCCTGTGAGGAGGGAATGCCGCTGTGCTCCACACGAGAATGGGGAGTGTAGAAAAGGAATAGATGAAGTCAGAATGGCACTCAGGAACCTGGAAACAGCAGATGGGTGTCGTGGTCCCCTTGGGCCGCCTGGGAGGCCCCTTGTCTTAGTTTTGCTTTGACCTGGCTGCAACGAAACCTTGGTGGCAGTAAGGAGACCTTGGCTGTGTTACGTGGCAGCACTTTGCCAGGCCCGCTGGATTGGCAGTAGTTTATTCCCGTGATTGGAGGCCCCTGGAGGGTCCTTGTCAACGGCACTGGGTCCAGGAGCCAGGGACGAGGGGCGAAGCTGTCTGTTCTGGGGCTCTGATGACTAGTGCGGGGAGCGCTTGGGCCTGCACCTCTCTGCACACCAAGGCCTGAGGCCCGATCAGGAGCTGGCTAGAGGCTCTGCTGTTTCAGTGGCCCTGATCCTGTAGCTGAAGAAACCTCGGCTAGAAGAGAGTCTGGGGAAGAGGGTCCTGGCTCCCTGGCTGAGAAGCTGCACGGTTCCTTGTTGCTGAGGATCTTGCACCTCTCCAGTTAGCCACATATTTTCTTCCTCGGAAAGGAAGGAGGTCCTTGGAAAGCTGTTCAGTCTGTCTGCTCATCAGCCGCTTCTGCCAATAGCTTCAGTTTCTCACCCCTGCCCCTCCACTCGTGGTCATGCTTCTCTCCCGCCCTCCTGGGGTGGCTTGGGACTCTGTGCAGGGTCTGTGTGTTCCTGAGGCATTTTGCCGTTCACTCCCGACCGGTGACTTCGATCACTTCGGCTAGGCCATTCACTTTTTTTTTTTTTTTTTGAGATGGAGTCTTGCTGTGTTGCCCAGGCTGGAGTGTGGTGGCGTGATCTCGGCTCACTGCAGCCTTTCCCTCCTGGGTTCAAGCGAATCTCCTGCTTCGGCCTCCCGAGTAGCTGGGATTATAGGCACATGCCATCTTGCTTGGCTAAGTTTTGTGTTTTTAGTAGAGACGGGGTTTTGCCGTGTTGGCCAGGCTGGTCTCGAACTCCTGGCTTCAAGTGATCTGCCCGTCTCAGCTTCCTGAAGTGCTGGGATTATGGGCCTGAGCCAATGTGCCTGGCCAGATTATTCACTTTTAGTTTATTACTCAGTGTCTTGGTCAGAAGTACTGGAAGTCCTGGGTGATGTTTTATGATTGTTTTGGGGAACATTTTGGAAGCCTTGACAGTCGTGCTTTGAAAACCCCACAGAGGTCCAGGGGCAGATTACACAGCCGCATTGTTTCAACTTACAAACTCCACTGGTAGTCTTGAACATGTGTGTTCAGAAATCTTGATTCCTTTACTGCAGGGAAAACTAGATCTTTCCCTGCCAGATGTTGCTGTTTTTGAGTATTTAGAATTGAATTGAATGTACTGAGCACCAGTCTGACTTAAACAAAGGCTAACATTTCCTCTTTCATGTACTTAATTCCGAGTAAAGTCCACGTTTTTATCCATGGTGCGTCCTAGCGCTGCCCAGTCTCCTTTCTCATACCAGTGTCTGCATATGACAGACTCATATACCTGACTTCATTGATTTATTTTTTATTTTAAAATTTATTTTGTAATCATTATTACTATTATTTTTTAAGATGAAGTCTTGCTCTGTTGCCCAGGCTAGAGTACAGTGGCGTGATGTCAACTCACTGCAACTTCTGCCTCCTGGGTTCAAGCGATTCTCCTGCCTCAGCCTCCAGGAGTAGCTGGGACTTCAGGCACACGCCACCACACCTGGCTAATTTTTGCATTTTTAGCAGAGATGGGGTTTCACCATGTTGGCCAGGCTGATCTTGAACTCCTGACTTCAGGTGACCCACCCGCCTTGGCCCCCCATAGTGCTGGGATTGCAGGCATAAGCCACTGCACCTACCCTGACTTTATTTAAATATTATTCTTTAGGAGCCGGTAGGAGTTGGATAGATTTTTCTTCCTTTGTCTCATCTCCTCATCAGTTCTGCTGATCAGTCCTTACTGCTGACATTTTTGTACATGGACATATCCTTTAACATTGCATATGAATTGCGCATTAACTGCCCACTAATTGAAAACCAGCCTTTGTTACTGTGTCCCTCAGATCTGGGCAAGTGCCTTCAGTGACAGACGCTGTCTCACGTTGATGAAGAACCCCTTGGAATAGGTTTGTTACCAGTTTGATGGGATTCCTAAGAGTTATCTCCAAATATATACTTAGAACATTTTAAAGGAACATTCTGAGTTAGCAGATCCCTCCATTCTACTGAATGTTAAAAATGTCTTAAAATCTTATTTGAAAACCAAGAACGTGGGGCCTTGTCGTCGTAAGTGGACACCCACTGAGACATGGCTGTAAGAGACTGCAGATGGCGGCTGGGTGGTAAAGAATCTTGTGTTTTGTAGTTCAGAGAGTTTTAAGATATCCAGAAACACTTGTACTCCTGCCCAGTTTTGATGTCTAGATTTAAATAAACCCAAGGCCATAAATGCAAAACACAAAACCCAATTTCTGTTACCCCGTGTTGTGTCCACTTGCAGTACATACAGTCTCTTCTGACTTTGGAAAAGCCTTAAAACGTCTGAGCCCAGCCCACACCTCAGCTGTGTTTCTCCCTGTCACACACGTTCCTTAGGTAAAGTGGGAGGGTTCTGACCTCACCATCCCTTCCCACCGCAGAGTTCATCCCAGACCATGGCTCAGACACACACTCCGTCAAGGCCAAGGCCGGACCATCAGGGGTGCAGAGCTTGGGGGCGGAACCCCAGGCTCATTTCTCCTGGACAGCCCACAGGTGGCGGCATGGAGGTGGAGAGCATGGCTGCCCTTTGCTCATGCGCCTCTGGGGGACCTTGAGGCATCAGGGTTTTGGGCTTGAGAACTGGACCTCACAGGAGAGATGCGTAGGGAGGGAGCCCTACGGCTGAGGCGGAAGGTGGTCGGTAGCCTGGTGGTTTCGGAGGCAGACACTGGGGTTCTTTGGACGGAGTAAGCTGTTATCCTAGCCTGCTTCTGTGACTGTGGGCTCCACCTAACTTCTCTGGTTTTCTTACCCTGCAATGAATGATTGTGAAGATTCCACGAGAGCCCTAAATGGAGAGTTCCTTGTTCCTTGAAAGTCATACAAACCTTATACTGCTGAACAATTCATTTTTTTCCTGAGTTTTAATATGCCAGTCACCCTCTGTTAACCAGGGACAGCATAGTTACGTGTAACTAGATACACCACTGCTATTGTATTTTTTTCCCTGTGATCTTTCGGGTCATTTAAATTGAGGAAAGAAACCCTGCCTGACTCAGCCTCCTTTTGTTCTTGTCTGGGTGGCTCCTCATGGATTTTATGAGACCCCCCCAAGACTCAAGGGTGGTTTGTCCTGCTGAAGACAGATGCGCTTGGAATGTGCTGTAGCTTTACATGCCCTGTGTCGTGCTGTGTTCTGATGAGAAATGGTAACTTCCCATTTCATATTTTGCCTCCTCTAGGGGGACAGCCGCGCCACTGCTGCTTTTCCGAAGAGGTGACTTCGACCGAGCTCTCCAATGGAGACCAGAGTCACAAGCTGGGAGATAACGGCTCGGAAAGAGACACCGGCGAGTCCAAGGCGGGGATCGCAGCTTCTGTGTCCATACTTGAAAACAGTAGCAGAGAGACTTCTAGAAGGCAAGAGCAGCACAGATTTTCTACGGACTTAAAAATGCCAGCATTTCACCCCAAGCAGGAGGTGCCCGTTCCTGGTGATGGTGTGGAGTTCCCTTCCAGTACGGGAGCGGAGGGCCAGACGGGTCACCCTGCAGAAAAGCTGTCCGATTTGCACAACAAGGAGCACTCTGGGGGAGGGAAGCGGGCGCTGGCCTCAGACCTCGTGCCGCTGGATTTAAGTGCGAGGTCGACGCGGGATGACCCCAGCAATAAGGAGACAGCCTCCTCCGTGCAGGCGGCTTTAGTCGTTCACCCGTGTCCTTACTGCAGCCACAAGACCTACTACCCCGAGGTCCTGTGGATGCACAAACGCATCTGGCACCGCGTCAGCTGCAACTCCGTGGCTCCCCCGTGGATTCAGCCCAACGGTTACAAAAGCATCAGAAGCAATTTGGTTTTCCTTTCCCGGAGCGGACGCACGGGCCCCCCGCCTGCCCTCGGTGGCAAAGAATGCCAGCCTTTGCTCCTTGCTCGGTTCACCCGCACTCAGGTGCCAGGGGGGGTGCCAGGGCCCAAAAGTGGCTCTTCTCCCCTGGGAGGGGTCACAAAAGCCGCTAGCATGCCTAAGAATAAGGAGAGCCATCCCGGAGGGCCCTGTGCTCTGTGGGCGCCCGGCCCCGACGGGTATCGACAGACCAAACCCTGTCACGGCCAGGAGCCGCATGGCGCGGCCGCACAGGGGCCCCCGGCCAAGCCCAGGCAGGAGGCTAGCTCCAAACTGGTGCCTGCCCCGGGTGGCGGGGGCTTCAGCAGGAGCGCCACCCCCACGCCCACCGTCATCACCCGGGCTGGCGCGCAGCCCTCGGCTAACAGCAAGCCCGTGGAGAAGTTTGGGGTCCCCCCAGCGGGGGCTGGCTTTGCCCCCACAAGTAAGCACAGTGCCCCGGACTGCCTGAAAGCCAAATTCAGCCCTCAGCCTCAGGGTCCACCTCCTGCAAAGGGCGAAGGGGGCGCTCCTCCTCTACCTCCCCGCGAGCCCCCTTCGAAGGCGGCCCAGGAGCTGAGGACTCTGGCCAGCTGTGCTGCGGGGTCCAGGGGCGACGCGGCCTTGCAGGCCCAGCCCGGCGTGGCTGGGGCGCCCCCCATCCTACACTCCATCAAACAGGAGCCGGTGGCCGAGGGGCATGAGAAGCGCCTGGACATCCTCAACATCTTTAAGACGTACATTCCAAAGGACTTTGCGACCCTCTACCAGGGCTGGGGTGTCAGCGGCCCTGGGCTGGAGCACAGAGGTAAGATGTGCGGGCCCCCTCTTCCCCGGGCCCCATGTGACCTCCAGAGCCACCCCTGGAAGGCCAGGGCTGCTGCCCACCTGCCTGCCCACGGCCTCTGAGGACAGAGCCAGCCTGCCCCCTCCCACTGCTGAGCTGAGAGCCACACCCTGGCCCTGGCCCAGGAGCACAGCAGATGGGAACAGCCCTCCCAGGCTCCACCTCTGCCCTGCCGGGGAACGCCTGCCTGGGCTTGGTGGTCCTCTGCATGCTGGCCCTGGGAGGAGTCGCAAGCCCCGCACGGCTTCCTTCCAGCTGAGAGGACGTTTCCTCCACACTGACATTCCGCAGGAGCAGGCAGACGTGATTGCACTTCACGTGTTTGTCACTTTAAACAGAATCCGTAGATGTTCATCGTCCTGTCTCTCCAAAGACAGGAATATTTATTTAGTGTGATTAAGTTTTATTTTTATATATCTATAATTTAAAAACCACCTATTTAGTCCTCTAGTATTAGTAAGCAAAGCCTTGCAGAGGATGGATGTACTATGTAAAGTCTGGAGAATGGGATTTGTGCAAAAATTCCTGAAAAAAATACTTGGAAAGGTTGTCTTCGCTTCTCCCTCTGCCTTAGTATTGCTGTGTCACAGTAACACTGAGAAGGAATTGCTTTCCTCCTGCCTCTCCGGTGCGCGCCCTGCCCTGCATGCGGCACCCTGTTCTGGAACATAAATTGAAGGTCACTCTCACTTAACGTCCAGAACACGAAGAAACCTAAGTTCTGTTGAAAACAAAACAAAAAGTCTCAGTTCATTACCTGGGAAGTCCTAACCATGCTTTGTTAGAATTGTTCATTGTGACTGGGTGCGGTGGCTCATGCCTGTAATCCCTGTACTGTGGGAGGCCAAGGTAGGCAGATCATGAGGTCAGGAGTTCAAGACCAGCCTGGCCAACACAGTGAGAGACGTTATCTCTAACTAAAAACACAAAAATTAGCTGGGCATGGTGACAGACACCTGTAATCCCAGCTACTTGGGAGGCAGAGGCAGGAGAATCGCTTGAACCCAGGAAGCGGAGGTTGCAGTGAGTGGAGATCATGCCACTGCACTCTAGCCTGGGTGACAGAGTGAGACTCCATCTCAAAAAATATATATAAATAAATTTAAAAAAAACCATCGTAAGCCTGTGGTTTCTTAAAGTGGTTCCCATTAGAAATGGCCTCTGAGCCAGGGCTGCAAACTCAGGCCGCTGGCAGGACTGTCAGGGGCGTGGTTTCGGGTCTGGGAGTTGAGATGTCAGCAGTGAGCCGCCCCAAATCCACCGTGGGACAATGTCCCAGTGGGTGCTGGGGTCACCTGCTGAGCTCCTGGCTTAGGCTGGGGTTTCAGAGCCAGCCTAGATCGTGACCTGCCGGGGCCGTCTTGGCATGAGGGATGCTCACCCCAGGTGTTTCCCAGTAGGAGACGTCGCAGGTCTGCTGCCTTCTTAACAGATTTGCCGGCAAAGGCCTTACTCCAGCCGACCGTGTTACATTAGCCCGCTGAGCGCTTGTGAACTTTTTAGGATGAGGCCGAGACCCGGACACCCGAGGGTCTCGTGAGATGTGTTGGGCTGAGGTGTGACTCGGGAGTGGGGGTCCTTGAGGCGGGTCGTAGATCCTTATCTCTTCTCCCCGCCCGTGTGCTCTGAGTGGATGGTGTAACCTGAGGAGGCCGTCACGGGTGGGAAGTGCGGCGCAGTGCCATGTGGATTGATGGTTTGACTTTTCCCATGTTCAGTTAAAGTGAGTGAGTTCCCTCAGCCTCAGCAGGGTTTCTCAGTCATGTAGATTATTTGCTGCAAAGTGAAAAACAAGTTTGTTGGTGGCCCTTTGACGTGATGCCAGCTCACTTCTGGAGATGTGGGTTTTCTTGGAACCCAAAGCAGAGAAGGCTGAGTGGTGAGGGTTCCGCTGTCTTGGATGCTGGGTGTCCCTGACTGCACCTTGCCCACTCTGTCCTTCCCCTCGTGGTTGCCTCCCAGCAGAGCACGGGGGGTTTGACGCCCGCTTAGTCCACCTGACTCGTAATTTAGTCACGCGCTCACAGCCTGCACACACCCTAAGTTCTAAACCTGTCAGGTTACACCTGGAAAGTGGCATCCCCAGTTTTTAAAAGGCCTCTGAGCTGCCCTGTGGGTGGCATAGTTGCTGTTTCTGAGAAAGTGGAAGTGAGTTTTAAGGTAAGGATTTGAAATTTCGGATGATAGAATTTGAAGTCCAAAATAGGCTGAAGTATTTTCCCTTTTCTTACAGACGTCTTTAAAAATAAATGGTTCTAAGGCCTTTTTTTTTTTTTTTTTTGGAAAGAGAGAGGTTAAATATTTATCTTTCATATGTGAAAAATACTAGTCATAAAGCACATGGGCTCATCTTGGGTTATTTATTCTTACAATGTACACATCGAGACAGCGTGAGTCAGCAAATTTGTGGTTTCTAAATCTACTCTAAATTGGATTTCTTAAGGGAAGTGCTTTCACCTTTTTGGTCTTAAAATACACCTGTTAGTAGGTGCATTATTAGGATCCTGGCTTCCCAGGTATAGAGTACCTGAGGTCAGCCTGTCTAGATACTCGGTCAGCGCACCTGAGAAGTGCTGAGCATCTCCAGATGGGACGCCTCCGGTGAGGGGCTCGGCACCTCCTGGGCCCCTAGCTTTGGTGAACTTCCCTTGCCTGCAGGTCTCTGTGTTGAAGCCATCAGAACAAGCTGAGAGCTCTTCTATGTGATAGTCCTTTAAACCTTCAGACACTTGTCTCTTGTCTTTCCTGGACCTAGCATCCCTGCTTTACATCCATCCTCTGCCTGGTCTCCAGGGCCTTCTGTGTTTATCCTCTACCTCGTCCCCAGGACCTTCTGTGTCCATCTTCTACCTGGTCTCCAGGACCTTCTGCATCCATCCTCTACCTGGTATCCAGGGCTTTCCCTGCCCATCCTCTACCTGCTCTCTGGGGCCTTCCCATCCATCCTCTGCCTGGTCTCTGGGACCTTCCCCACTTCTCTACCTGGTCTCCGGGGCCTTCACGTCCACTCTCTGCCGGGTCTCTGGGGCCTTCTGTGTCCATCCTTCTGCCTGGTCTCTGGGGCCTTCACGTCCATGCTCTAAACCTGGTCTCCATGGCCTTCCCTGTCCACTCTCTACCTGGTCTCCAGGAACTTCACGTCCATCCTCTGCCTAGTCTCCGGGACCTTCTTTGTCTATCCTCTGCCTAGTCTCTGGGACTTTCTTTGTCTATCCTCTGCCTGGTCTCCGGGACCTTCTGCGTCCATCTTTTACCTGGTATCCAGGGCTTTCCCTGTCCGTCCTCTAACTGCTCTCCGGGGCCTTCCCATCCATCCTCTGCCTGGTCTGTGGGACCTTCCCCATCCATTCTCTACCTGGTCTTCGAGGCCTTCATGTCCACTCTCTAGCTGGTCTCCATGGCCGTCCCTGTCCACTCTCTCGCTGGTCTCCAGGAACTTCACATCCATCCTCTACCTGGTCTCCCGGACCTTCTTTATCTGTCCTCTTTCTGGTCTCCGGGACCTTCTATGTCCATCCTCTACCTGCTCTCCGAGGCCTTCCATCCATCCTCTGTCTGGTCTCCGGGACCTTCTGTGTCCATTCTCTACCTGGTCTCCGGGACCTTCACGTCCACTCTCTTCCTGGTCTCTGGGGCCTTCTGTGTCCATCCTTCTACCTGGTCTCTGGGGCCTTCACGTCCATGCTCTACCTGGTCTCCAGGGCCGTCCCTGTCCACTCTCTACCTGGTCTTTAGGGCCTTCACGTCCATCCTCTGTCTGGTCTCCGGGACCTTCCACATTTCCTTTCTCCATACTTGAATGTTTGTTTTTGACGCCCTTAAAGTGTTGTAGCCAGAAGGAAACCCAGCAACTTTGGCGTGGTCAGACTATTGGAAAGGTGAACAGAACACTCGTGTTTCCTGTTACAGAGACTCGATTTCTGTTAGTGCAACCCAGGACATCTGTGCAGCCTAGATTTCCTTTTTTGAGTGTTACTGAATACTGGAGTAACTACACTTTCTTAGGACTTTTTTCTTCCACTTGTTTCTGTTCAGCTGTTTATTTTTTGTGGTGTACCTGTAGTTGATTTTTGAGTCATGAGTCTAGAATCTTGTTTCATTCCTCCCTTGGTCAAATTGGTCTTTTTGACGTGTCTTCTTATACAAGTGTGTCTGTAGGTTCTGGTCTCCTCACCCCGTGCGTTTGTTATGTGTCTGCTAGGTGGCTGTTGTCTGCAGATGTCAAGGTCACAACTTCCCTGTGCGTGGTCCTTGATTACATCTATAGACGTAGCATCATTTTGTAGTTTGGGGAGGTAGAAATATGCAGAGGAGAACGGTCTCAGAGAACAGGAAGTCGTCTCATGTGTACATGCAATAGTTGTGGGTGCTAGAAGTGTGATTCTGTGATTTTGCAGTGGACATGTTCCATTTATACAGAGAATGTTGCTGTTGCAGGATGCCACTGAGACAGGTTTTATCAGAAGTTAGGAAATGGGAGTCTCAGAGACTTCCCCGCCCCCTGCATGTGTTCGGGTGATGTTTCTGTAGATAGGGAGAGTCTAAAAACTCTACCCAAACAGTAAGGAAAGAACTATCGCTACCTCCCTGAGGGGTTCCCTGACCATTTAAGAAGAAAAACTCACTGCATTTTCTGTGATCATTGTACAGTGTGACTGCCAAGTCTGTAAACATACAGGAATAGAACATAAATGACTTATTGCTACAGCAATAAAATAATACATGATCTGTGTTTTCAGACCTTTTGGCCAGCCTAGATGATCTGATATGATGAATCTTAGAATAATAAAATTTGAAGCTAATAAAATGAGATAATTCCAGATAAAATAGATGGTATTTCTTATTAGGACTTAAAAAAAGTCATTTATACCAAGGAGGCCTTCATATTATGGTGATGAAAGCTTTATGCTTCCTTGCAGTTTGATCTCTCTCTGTAGAGTCTTTTTCATCTCCTCTTTCTCTATGGATAGCACAACACCTCATAATGACACACAACGTTGCAGGACTGGGTGACCCCCTCTGAAGTTCGCCAGGCCTTTTTCTTTCACTGTTAAGTCCACTTTCCAAATACAAGCTGAATTTCTAGGTGAGAACATTTGAGCTGCGTGCTCACCAGGTGGTCTTTGTTCAAATGGAGTTTGTCACCTTTGTGATTAACTCGGAATGTTGGGGTAGCTTGGGCATAATATTGTTGGCCATAAGGGCAAGTGCCCTGTCTTTAAAAAGTAAAGAGAGAGTGATATGGTGAAATGTGTGGGAAAACCATATGTGCGCGTGCACTTGTGAGTGTGTGCGCCTGCGTGAGTGCGTGTGCACGCGTGCTCATGCACCCTTAATTGAAGGAAATAAGCACAGGTGAGCGGGAGGGCTGTCCGTGTTTTCTCTGTTGCTCATTTGGATAGGAAATAGCTACCACAATTACTTGAAAAAAGAATGAGAATGACTTCATTTTTGAAAGTTCTGAATGTTAGATGACATTGCATGTCGTCATCATTAGTCAGTATTCTGTGTAGGTGTGGTCAGATTCCACCTGCAGATGCAGTCTAGATGGTACCTGGGAAAATCCAGACAACCAAAGTATTCAGAAATTTGTTTCATAGGAGTTCCACTGGCTGGTGTTTCTAGTGCAAATGAATGGGGGAACAAAATAGCTTTAAAAATCTCTTTTCTTTCCTTCCTTTCTTTCCTTCCTTC